AAAACTTGCATGTTATCAAAGCCAAAAATAACCGTCGAAATTGCCTGATGAATCCCGCTGGCCTGATAGCTCGCGTGTTCTGGGTGTCATGGTCCCCTCTTTTCGCTCTGCTCTTTCCTGAAACCTTATGACACAGTTGTGACTGTAGCTAGCTAGGAAAACAAGACTACATCGCGACATACAAAGATATTCGAAGCTCCGACCTTTCTCCCAATTTCACTCCACTTCTACCTGAAACCATCGATTAGGTGGGAAAGTAAACAGATTGCAGCTTCATCCTCGCGATACAGTCACAATTAGATCCAACAAGGAAGGAAAATACTGGATCATGACTTCATCTCTTTGCAATGCAATCGTGATTAGAGCTAACAAGGAAGACAACTTGATTGTGGCGTTCGAGAGATCTGGGTATGCTTCCGCTCGGTTTTGACTTCGCAGCTTCCTCACGATTCTGTCTTCAGTATTCTAGACCAACCACAAAATAGAGGACTTTACCTTCTTTCAGTCTCTTTAATTTTCACAAACAAGGCTTCTATTCCAGAGTACCGTGAACCAGAGAATCGAACTAAATCAAAAGTAGACCCATCAAATACTCAATCTATTTTAGAACCTTCTGCTTCTTCACCGCTAGGGCCGTCTCAGTCAACTTCTCCTCTACTCAGGTTTAAGACCCATTAAATACCACAACGTAAAGGATTGCACCTCCTTTTTTCGGTTCCTCTGTTTTTCACAAAGACAACTTTCGTTCCAAAGTGCCATGAAGTTGAGAATCAAACTGAATCGGAAGTAGGCCAGTCAAATACTCAATTTGTTTTAAAACCTTCGGCTTCTTCTCCGCTGGAGTCGTCTACACCAACTTTCTTTTTAACACGCCTTTAAAGCACTGAAATAACTTGCAATCGAAATTGACTCTAATGTTTGGATTCACCCTCTCCTCTCGTTGATGATGTTGTATAAATCGGTGACGACCTTCGCCCAAATAAATTCTATTGTTTTTATTGGTTCCAATTATTCTAAAACTAATTTGTCCTACCCATGGTGGTGAGATCATTGCTAAAAATCATGGCTTACAAAGGAGAGGCATGTTGGAAGATTTAATGTAAACTCGTAAATTATGAGCCAAAATCTAAATGTGAAGGTCGGGCTTATCAAGTTACTACTGATGACACTCAAGAGACTTCTACCAACTTAGATACAATTTCTTTTTCTATGGAGCAACTACAGCACCTGCAGAAGTTGTTTCAATTTTCAAAATTGTCACCGACTCAATTTTACCCTTCAGTACAGAATGATAACTCTCTAGCCACTAACCTGTTTAGTGTTAACCCTAATTTATTCATTTTTTGGATAATTGATTTCAGTGCATTTGATCATATGACTGATTATTTTAAATTATTCTCATCTTATAATTCTGGTGTTGTCAATAAAAGGGTTAAAATTGACGATGGCTCCTCAAAATTGTCGGGATGGGAACTGTCAAACTCGCATTGTTGTTAATCTTTCGTGATGTGCTTCGTGTTCCCAATTTTTCTTGTAATCCATTGTCCATCAGCAAAATTACTTCTAATTATCGGTGTCAAGCTAATTTCTTCTTCTCTTATTGTGAGTTTCAGGAATTTACCACTACGAGGATGATTGATAATGTTGGGAAGATGATGGGCTATACTATTTTGAAGTTGAACTTGATGTGAATAAACAATGATGAAGTATTTGTTTAAATTCTGCTTTTATTTCCGAATATGATATTATACTATGACATTGGTTAAGTCATCCTAGTTTCTCGTATTTAAAATTATGGTTTCCTAACTTATTTTGAAAGATAAAGTTGTCATATTTCCAATGTGAAGTCCGTCAGTTTGTCAAAAATTATCGTGCCCCCCTTTTTCTTTTCAAATTTACAAGTCAGCTACACATTTTACTTTGATTCATAGTGATATTTGGGATCCTTCTAAGCATCTTCACTCTGAAAAAAATGGTTTGTTATCTTTACTAATGATCACAAGATTAAATTGGGTGTACTTTATGAAAAAAATGTGGAAATATTTTTTAAAAACTTTTACATTATGGTACAAACACAATTTCAAAAATCTATTCAAATATAATTGCCTAAAGTTTTTAAAAAATGTTTTAGGTAATTTTTTTTCCGAAAAAGGAATAGTTCATCAAAACTCGTGTCGACACCTTAAACAAAATGGTGTGGCTGAAAGAAAAAACAAACAATTATTAGAAGTATCTCGGACATTGTTATTTACAAATCATATGTCGAAATATCTTTAGGGTGATCTTACCACTACGTTTCTCATTAATAGAACACACAATAAAGTATTGAACTTTGAACACCTTTTAATGTTTTTCAGAAAATTGACCTAACAAATTTGTTTTCTTATGATTTATCTTTAAAGATATTTGGGTGTATTGTATTTGCTCACATTCATAGTCATAATCAATAAAAGTTTGAACTTTAAACCATTAAATATGTTTTTGTTATGGTCACCCAAATGGGATGGGAGTATAAGTGCTTTAATTCTATTTTGAAAAAATGTTTGTTTCCATAAATGTCATTTTTTTTTTAAGTAACAACTCTTTTTTTTGGGGGGTGGGGAGATAAAATAAATATTCACTATTGTTTTTCTGAACTTACAAAATAATCTCCCCAACCTTGATTATTCAGCCTTAAAATCCAAGCTATATTATATCGAAAAAAAGTGTGTCGAGTTTTTCAATATTAAAGATGAATTGATCTTTCTACTGTGTCATCTCATGATGTCTTTAATCCTATAACAACTAACAAAGAGGAAACAAGAAAAAAAACTATAACATTAATACTATTTGACATAGTCCACTCGCTATAAAAGATAACTCAAAAGAAAGTGTGTGAATCTTTTGCATTGCCTCAAGTCCATGAATCCTTCAGGTAATGTCCTCATTGAGTCTTTACCCCACGATCAGCCCACTTCATCCTTGTGTTTTGAGCCTTCTAATCCTAAACCTAAGTCTAGCCCTAGTCCGAAATCTAATGATTTCAGTCATCTCATTGTTGCTTGTAAGGGAGGTGAGACTCTGCACCCAACATTCATTGTCTCATTATGTGTCATATGAAAATAAGTCGCCTATTTTTAGGGTTTTTACCACATTTGACTTATATGGAGATTCCTAATACTATGTAGGATGCTCTAAAAGTTTTCAAGTGGAAGTAGGCTATCTTTGAGGAGATGAAAGGTCTAATAAAAAATGACGCATGAGAATTGGTTGATTTCCTAAGAGCGAAGAAAACTGTCAGATGCAAATGGGTTCTTTTAGTTAAGTGTAATTCTGAAGGTTCTCTAGAAATGTACAAGGCTTGACTGGTTGCCAAGGGATTCACTCAGATCTATGGCATTGATTGCTTAGAAATATTCGCCCTCTTAACGAAACTAAAATCCATAGAAGTTCTTCTATCACATACTGTTAATCTTGATTGGCCTCTATAACAGTTTGATATAAAAAATATATTTTTGAGTGGGGACCTAGAGGAAGAAGTATCTTGGATACACGTCCAGAATTTTGTGAGAAGTTTGGCGAGGTGTGTATACTAAAAAAGTTCTTATATGAGTTGAAGCAGTTATCTAGAGAATGATTTGAAAAATTTGCTTTGTTTGTTAAAGATCAAGAGTATACTTTGTGGCGAAGGTATCATATAATATTCTTCAGCATTCAAAGGATGAGAAGATAGCCGTACTGAGTGTATGTGTGGACAATATTATTCTCATCGGGGATGACATATATGAAATTGACTGGTCCTCCCCCGCATCAGTTTTTTGAGATCAAAACTTAGGATTATTGAGGCATTTTTCTTGGCATGGAGGTTGCTAGATCAAAAAAAGGGATTGTTGTTTCCCAACGAAAATGTGTTCTTTATTTTCTAAAAGAAACATGGATGAGTGTTTGTAAGCCAACAAACATTCAATTGATCCCAATTAGAAATTAGGAGATGAGGGTGACCCAATGAACATAGATCGATATCAAAAGTTGGTGGAAAAGTAGATATATTTGTCATATACACGGCCATATATTGCCTTTGTTATAAGTTTGGTAAATCAATTTATGCATGCACCATCTGAGAAACACTTGAAGTTAGCAGGATTCTCATATACTTAAAAAGTACATCAGGTAAGGGTTTACTCTTTTAGAAGACCACACAACAGAATATAGAGCCATGCATCTATGCAAACTAGGCGGGCTCAGTTGTTGACGATTAATCAACATCTAGATACTGCACTTATGTCTAGGAAAATTTGGTTACATGACGAAATGAGGAATAGAATATGGTGGTAAGGAGTAGTGTCAAAAGACAGATCGAGCTATTTCTAATGGATATGTGGGATGTTATGGCTAAATAGAATTCTTCATGAGCTGTGGATTCCGTTAAACATGCAAATTGAAGTTTTATTGTGCCAATAAGGTTATCATAAGCATTACAGAAAATCCAGTGCAACATGATCACACAAAACTTATGGAGATTGATAGGCACTTCGTAAAAGAGATGATTAATCGTGAAGCTATTTACATATCTTTCACTTTGACAACACAACAAATAACAGATTTCTTCACTAAATTACTTTTTAGTCCTAGTTTTGAGTCCTTGTACGCAAGTTGGGCATGACAGATATTTATGCTCCAACTTGAGGGGAGGTGTTGGATTTTTTAGAAAGATTATATTTTTGAGTATCTTTTATTATTAGTATTTTCTATTTTTAGGATTTGAAATTATTGGTTTGTCATATTTATGATTTTCTTCTTTCATTATGGGAAGTTTTGACTGATTTTATTACTTTCCTGATATGGGAGTTATCCCTCTCTATTTATCTTGTAATTGTTTTCCATGAAATTGGAGAGGGATATTTATTTTTCCGCTTCTAAAACTTACAATGGCATTCTATTAAACTGCTCATACTAGTTCTTCGTGCAGTTCGTCCAGTTGCTTCTCTCTCTTATAAGCTTCTTTTTCTTTTCATGTTTAGGGTTCGATTTCACTATGGTCATCCGGATGTCTTTGACAGACTCTTTCATCTCACAAGAGGTGGTGTGAGTAAGGCTTCCAAGATAATTAATTTAAGCGAGGACATTTTTGCGGGTATTTTCATGAATTAAGTTCCATCTTGTTTTTCACTGTAGTCCAAAATAATGATGGAAACTCATCAGATATCTAAGCAAGTTATATTCTTCTTCTGTGGTGTAGGTTTCAATTCGACGCTCCGCGAAGGCAGTGTCACTCATCACGAATATTTGCAAGTAGGCAAAGGAAGAGATGTGGGCCTTAATCAGATATCTCTGTTTGAAGCAAAGATCGCAAATGGAAACGGGGAGCAAACATTGAGCCGCGATGTATATAGGCTTGGGCACCGTTTCGACTTCTTTAGGATGATGTCCTGCTATTTTACGACTGTGGGATTTTATTTTAGTACCCTGGTATGTCTTGGTTCTTACATAAAATTGTCATGACTATGATGAATTCTTGAACTGAAGCTCATCATCTTTTTCTTTTCGGGCATTTACATACATAGCACACAATTATTATTATTATTGTGTTTACATATCTCACACCTAAACTTTCATTGTTTACACACTTAGCACTCATCTTTAAAATCACATCAACAATACCATTATTACCACTTTTTAGAAGTTGAGCACAAATTTTCATGCATGATTTAAAGTACTAATGTGTCTTGTGTGTAAATATGAAATTTTAAGAGTGAGGTATGTAAGTAAATACATAAGAATTGTGTGCTAGGTATGTAAATTTTCCTTTTTTTTTTCTTGTTTGAATTGCAGTTGACTGTCCTGACAGTATACGTATTTCTATACGGGCGACTTTACCTCGTTCTTAGCGGGCTTGATGAGGGCTTGGCTACTGGGAAAAGGTTCATTCACAACCATCCCCTTCAAGTAGCTCTCGCCTCGCAGTCCTTCGTGCAGCTTGGGTTTTTGATGGCACTACCTATGATGATGGAAATTGGTCTTGAAAAAGGATTTCGAAACGCGCTAAGCGAATTCATCATGATGCAGTTACAATTAGCTTCCGTTTTCTTTACTTTTTCGCTCGGAACCAAAACTCACTATTACGGAAGGACTTTGCTTCATGGAGGTGCTGAGTATCGCGGCACAGGTCGCGGTTTCGTCGTCTTCCATGCGAAGTTTGCTGAGAATTACCGTCTTTATTCTCGCAGTCATTTTGTGAAGGGCATGGAGTTGATGATCTTACTCGTCGTTTACCAAATATTCGGGCAACCTTATAGATCCGCAGTTGCTTACATATTTATCACTGCTTCGATGTGGTTTATGGTTGGGACTTGGTTATTCGCTCCATTTTTATTTAATCCTTCTGGGTTTGAATGGCAAAAGATTGTTGATGATTGGACTGATTGGAACAAATGGATAAGTAACCGTGGTGGGATCGGAGTGGCGACGAATAGCAGCTGGGAATCATGGTGGGAGAAAGAGCAAGATCATCTGAAATATTCGGGAAAGCGAGGGACCATTACGGAAATACTGCTATCTTTCCGCTTTTTCATCTATCAATATGGGCTTCTCTATCACTTGAATATAACCAAGACAAAAAGCATATTGGTACATTCGTAACTAGTTATTTCAAGCACGAAAATTTGTTGCAATTTCACATGAGAAATGTGGGATTCTGAACTTAAATTATTTGCTTGTTTTTACAGGTATATGGCATTTCTTGGCTTGTGATCGTGATAGTATTGCTCGTCATGAAGGTAAATTCGTAGAATTCTTGGTAGATTTATAATTTCGAAAAGCAACTTATTTAAATTATAATTTCTTCTCTCACGCCTTATTCTTGATTAATTGTCATTAGAGTAAATTTGTCATTGTTTTCTTCATCATGCTGTGGTTTCACTGAACTTCCTTTCTTTGTGCGTCTTTGAACTGCATTAGAAATGTAAATTTTCCTCCTAAATTTAGGTCTTAAATTTCTTGCAAGATATTAAATAGCGAGATTTTTGTTAACGAAATTCGTACAATCTATATTTTAGAAATAAAATAACGTATTTATACACAGTAATTGGACAATTTAGAAGCATAGCAGTTCTACTTATGCATCACCGTTCCGACCTCTCTTTCTCTCTCTTCAAGATGTAATATCCTTGTATTTTTATTCTCTAACTGACAACATAACATATTCAAAATAATTTATTGTCATTATTTATGTTTTTTTGCAGACCGTATCTGTCGGAAGGCAGAGATTCAGCGCCAATTTTCAGCTTGTTTTCCGGTTGATCAAATTCCTAATCTTTGTTACGTTCATGTCTATATTCCTACTACTCCTTTCACTATTACTACTACTAGTACTACTACTACTAGTACTACTACTACTAGTATTACTACTACTACTACTACTACTATTATTACTACTATTACTACTACTACTACTATTATTACTACTATTACTACTACTACTATTACTACTACTACAACTACTACTATTACTATTACAATTGTTACTACTATTACTACTACTGCTACTACTACTACAATTACTACTACTACAACTACTACTATTATTATAATTACTACTATTACTATTACTACTATTATTACTACTACTACTATTATTACTACTACAATTACTACTATTACTATATTATTAATTATTACTATTACTACTATTACTACTATTACTACTATTACTACTACTAATACTATTACTACTATTACTACTACTATTACTACTACTATTACTATTACAATTATTACTACTATTACTACTACTACTGCTATTACTATAACTACTACTATTATTATAATTACTACTATTACTATTACTACTATTATTACTACTACTATTATTACTACTACAATTACTACTATTACTATATTATTACTACTACAACTACTACTATTACTATTATTACTACTACTATTACTATTACTATTACTACTACTACTAGTATTACTATTACTACTATTATTACTACTACTATTATTACTACTACAATTACTACTATTACTATATTATTACTACTACAACTACTACTATTACTATTATTACTACTACTATTACTATTACTATTACTACTACTACTAGTATTACTATTACTACTATTATTACTACTACAACTACTATTACTATTATTATTATTACTAGTATTACTACTAATACTACTAGTATTACTACTACTAACTACTACTACTATTACTACTAATACAACTCCTATTACTATTACTATTATTACTAGTATTACTACTACTACTACTAGTATTACTACTACTACTATTACTACTAGTATTACTACTACTACTACTACTACTACAAGCTATTACTATTACTACTATTACTATTACTACTATTACTACTACAATTACTACTATTACTATTACTACAACTACTACTATTACTATTATTACTATTACTACAACTACTATTACTACAACTATTACTACTACCAACTACTGCTATTACTACTACTACAACTACTATTACTATTATTATTATTACTAGTATTACTACCCTTATTACTAGTATTACTACTATTAGTACTACTACTACTACTACTATTACTACTACAACTACTACAACTATTACTATATTATTATTAGTATTACTATTATTACTATTACTACTACTATTATTACTACTACTACTATTATTACTACTATTACTACTATTACTATTACAATTGTTACTACTATTAGTACTACTACTACCATTACTGCTATTACTATCACTACTATTATTACTACTATTACTATTACTATCATTATTACTATCACTATTACTACTATTACTACTACTACTACTATTACTACTATTACTACTACTACAACTATTATTACTACTATTACTATCACTATTACTACTATTACTATTACTACTACTATTACTATCACTATTACTACTATTACTATTACTACTACTATTACTATCACTATTACTACTATTACTATTACTACTATTACTACTATTACTACTATTACTACTACTAATACTATTACTACTACTACTACTATCACTACAACTACTACTATTACTATTATTACTAGTATTAGTAACTACTACTACTACTATTACTACAACTACTATTACTATTACTATTATTACTAGTATTACTACTACTACAACTACTACTACTAGTATTACTATTACTACTAGTATTACTACTACTACTACAAGTATTACTACTATTACTACTACTACTACTATTACTATTACTACAACTATTATTATCACTACAACTATTACTATTACTATTATTACTATTACTATTACTACTACTATTACTACTATTACTATTTCTACAACTATTATTATTACTATTATTACTATTAGTATTACTAATATTGTTATTATTACTATTACATTACTATTACTACTACTATCACTACAACTACTACTATTACTATTATTACTATTTGTACTACTATTACTACAACTACTACTACTACTATTACTACTACTACAACTACTATTACTATTACTATTATTACTAGTATTACTACAACTACTACTACTAGTATTACTATTACTACTAGTATTACTACTACTACTACAAGTATTACTACTATTACTACTACTACTATTACTACTATTAGTACTATTACTATCACTACAACTACTATTACTATTATTACTAGTATTAGTAACTACTACTATTATTACTACAACTACTATTACTATTACTATTATTACTAGTATGACTACTACTACTACTAGTATGACTACTACTACAACTACTACTAGTAGTACTACTACTACAACTACTACTACTATTACTACTACTACTACTACTATTATTTACAACTACTACTACTGCTATTACTACTACTACAACTCCTATTACTATCTACTCCTCTTACTATTAGTACTATTATTACTACTACTACTAGTATTACTACTATTAGTACTACTATTACTATTACTACTACTACTACTATTACTCTACTACAATTACTACAACTATTATTATCACTACAACTATTACTATTACTATTATTACTATTACTATTACTACTACTATTACTACTATTACTACTGCTATTACTACTACTACAACTACTATTACTATTATTATTATTACTAGTATTACTACTAATACTACTAGTATTACTACTACTACAACTACTACTATTAGTACTACTACTACAACTACTACTACTACTACTACTACTACTATTATTACTACTACTACAACTACTATTACTATTACTATTATTACTAGTATTACTACTACTACAACTACTACTAGTATTACTACTATTAGTACTACTACTACTATTACTACTACTACTATTACTATTACTATTACTACTATTACTACTTCTACAACTATTATTATTACTATTATTACTATTAGTATTACTACTATTATTATTATTACTATTACATTACTATTGCTATTACTAGTACTATTACTACTACTACAACCAGTACTACTAGTATTACTACTATTAGTACTACTACTACTATTAGTACTACTACTACCATTACTGCTATTACTATCACTACTATTATTACTACTATTACTATTACTATCATTATTACTATCACTATTACTACTATTACTACTACTACAACTATTATTACTACTATTACTATTACTATCACTATTACTACTATTACTATTACTACTACTATTACTATCACTATTACTAGTACTACTATTACTATTACTACCTACTATTAATATTATTATTATTATTTAGGAAGATTTACATACATACCACTATTCCTATGTAATTACATATGTAACACCTAAGCTTCAATTTTTACGTGTGAACCACCTTACATATGTATGAAAAGTTGAAAGATTTGAGTGGTATATATAAAAAGTTGAAAGATTTGAGTGGTATATATATGTAAGTAAACATTAGGTCTTAGATATATAGAAATTCCCCTTTTATTATTTATTTATTTATAGATTTGTGTCTACTTAAATTTTTAATTTCTTAACATCCTCTTCAGATTGCGCAAGCATGCAAAGCCGCTATGCGCAAATTCGGGCTATGGGGTTCAATCAAAGCTCTCGCTCGAGGCTACGAGATTATGATGGGGCTGCTGCTTTTCACCCCTATTGCCTTCTTGGCATGGTTCCCCTTTGTTTCTGAGTTCCAGACTAGAATGTTATTCAATCAAGCTTTCAGCAGAGGCCTTCAGATTTCTCGCATTCTCGGCGGCCACAAAAAGGATCGAGCTCGAAATAAGGATTAAAGTCGCCGCGAATTTGGCCGTCTTCGAAGAAATGTTATGTTGTGTTGTATTAGATGTATTTATTGTACTTTGTTAGTATGAATTTGAAGATGTGGTTTAATGTTTTATGAGTGTTTGTTGCTCTATATATTTGATGTTGCCGATGAATTGATTCAATTTTCATTAATGGAAAATTGTTTATTGGGGTTTTTGGCATCTAATTATGTATTTTTGTTTCCTTCTCCAAATTTCACTGATCCGTAGATAGGAGTGTGAACAAGTCGAGTCGAGCTGAAGTCACTCTTGGCTTAAGCTTGATTAATTTATCGAGCGCAAGTTTTGGAATTCGAGCTTGCTTTATTATTATAAAAGGGAGAGTAGTACTTTATAGAGTGTTATTTTAAAATGACAGAATGAATGAATAATTAGGGGAGAAATAAAAAAATTTATTTAATAAAATGTAAAATAATATTATTTTTAAATTATAAGTATTTTAAAATTAAGTTTTTAAATTTAATATATTTTAAGTATATTTTATATTAGTATTTTTAGCAGATAAAATTATGTTAGATTTCTAGCTGCTGTGGTAAATTATTGTTTTATTATATTGTGGATTTTGATTATTTAAGATTAGCTGTTGAAATGAGTTGTTTTTTTTATGTGTGAGCTTGTCTTTTATCATTGTCCATTTTATTAATTTTTTGTAAAATTTTAAGTTAATTTCATTGCATTAACTTCGTATAATTTTCTTGGTATCCTCTGTCTAATTTTAAGCAAATGAAAATGTTTTTTTTTATTATTATTTTTATTTTTTATGATTGACGAGTGAGCTTCTCCAATAGGAGATATTTGCATACGTAAGACTACGCAAAATTACGTACATATTAAGTTATTTGGAGGATATATGTAGATTACATTTAAGTTATACCCCTTATAACTTTTATCCTTCAAATAACCTAATATGTATGCAATTTTGCGTACGTCAAATATTTTTCCTCCATTAGGGGCAGAATGAGTGTTACTTTTTAAGTGAGTAAAATCATCAAATATTTAATTTTTTATGTATCGGCCATAAAAAGTATATTGAAGAAGGGCAAAGTTATTAAATTATTTAAATTACATAAGAAAAAAAATATTACATTTTAATATTTATATAGAAAATTTTTAAATTTTAAAAAGAGGCAATCGCAAATCTTGAACTTGATTATACCTCTATTTTAAAGATTATTTTATTAGTTGTTTCTCATTATTATTATTATTATTATTATTATTATTATTAAGATTCCACGTGGCTTTATTGTTTGTATTGTGTTTATTTATTTATATCTTTCTCTCCTCCCATTAGATTTTCTTCTTATCTGCAAGTACCTGAATTACATTTATTTAGTATATATTAGTAGCACGTGTAAGCCTTTATATGAATCAAGCAGAATTTGTCTTCATATTTTGCATGTCCTCTTGTGAATTGCATTAAATTATTAGATGAACAGGTGGGGGTATAAAATGAATCAGACTTAGTTAGCCCAAACCATAATAAGAAATATAAATGTTATTATTCAAATCAAATAAGCAGTTGACAACAAACACACAACTTAGACACCTAACTAAGGTTGGTTTCAAAGGTGATGGAAGGCTGCAATATGAGTGATGTGGTTGGGGGAAAGGAATGTGGTTGATTGGTGAGTTATAAAGGACATGTTGGAAGGCTAGGCGGCAAAGGATAACAGGCATGGAGGACTGAAGACAAAAGAGAAGAGCAGGTTGAAAGTCTGGTGGCAAGGAATAGAGGATGGGAGGGTTGGCGGCAGGAAGACAACAGGCGGGGGGGTCAGTGGTAGGGAGACAACAGTAGGAAGGCCGAGAAGTAGGCTATAGATGTCGGGAAAGATAGACAAACACAACCTCATGACGAGTTATAGTCGAAGCACATTCTCGCCTTCGAATACAGCCTTAAAGGGGAAGACCTGGACATTGACAACTGACCTCACAAAAATATGAAATAAAAAATGGTCTAAACACGGGAAAAATGCATATAAATATTATTAGGTTAATTAAGGGTGAGCCATCTCAATTAGGCGGCTAATCGCCCTTAAGGAAGGATTGTATGGCCACTCTCCTCCCTTAACATGAACCAGTTCAAGCAATCAATTTGACAGTTGTCGTTGTTGTGTCCCGTGTCTCGCATCACGCACGAGAGATACATCAATTTTAGTCTGGTCCTGATCATCAGTTGTTGCTTCATCACTCGCTTCCTCCATGGCACCCTACTTGGTGAATGATACCTCTTGACTTGTCGGGCAACTAGAAGCGATGTAGCCATATACGTGGCATCGGAATCCTTTCCAAGTTGGAACTACACCGGACGTGCTATTCTTCTAAGAATTCTTTCCACTCTAATATATGTCTTCTCAGTTCCAAGTCTAGTCCTTCCCACTCCTCTAGGCGTGCTCTTGTCGGGGCCTTCAATTATATGAGGTTGTCTGAATTGAGATTGGTACCTTTGCTACTTCTATTGTCTTTTCACTTTTAGTGCTAAGGTCTGAACTTTCCCGAGTGTCCAGTAAACTTGCAATTGGAACACATTACTGATGACAGGTTTCGGGCCTCCCAAGTACTTGGATATAAAGTACTCGGTCTCTTTACGTTCTCATTTCAACTTCAACTGCATAAATCCAGCAGTGTACTCCACTGATTGCTCCTCTGCATATAGTGGAGCTTCATAACAATATCCTAGCAGTAGCGTGGGGATAGATATTGTCGTTGCATCGCCATCTTCATCTTCTCCCAAGATATGATTTTGGTTTGTCCTTTCCTCTGTCTCTTCTTCTTCATGTTGTCCTACCAAAAGGAAGCATTCTTCGTCAACTTGATGGCGGCTAGTTTCACTCTTTTGTCATCTGAAACATCCTTGTATTCAAAGGCTCACTCAACAGTTTACATCCACTCAAGGAAATCATCTGGATTCATCCTCCCGTTAAAGTCCAGTAGAACCACCTTAATTCCTAAATCATTGTGCCCTTTGTTAGGCACTTTCTCTCTCGGTCTCCTCTGATACCGAATTCTAAAATGCCCTGGTCGATTCACCTCTTGATCGAAGCAATCCCTACGAAAGAGGTTAATCTGTTCTTTTGGCTCTCCTCCATAGATCTCACTATTACAGTCAAAGGTGACCTCACCCATGTTCTTTTCCTCAATGGCCTCGAGCCGTTAAGCACTTGGCGTAGTAGTCATTGTATGTCACCCATGGAAATTTCCTTGTTAGCGCCAAAGGACAACAGATAGAGTAGTGGCTAGTGGCATTAAAATAGCAGGTGAGAGGGTTGGGGAGCAAAGGGGAGCAGGTATGAAGAGCCGACAACAAAGAGGAGAGCAGCTTGAAGGGCTGGCAGCAAGAAAACTGCATATGGTAGGGCTGGTGATGGAGGATGGAAATGTCGAGAATGATAGATTAACACTACCTCATGATGAGTTACATCTGAAGCACCTTCTCGCCTTCGAATACATTCCAAAAAGGGAAGATCTGAATGTTGGCGGTTATACTGACAAAAATCTGAAATTAATAATGAGCTAAACACATAAGGTTAGCAAAAGGTAGGCCCTCGCAGTTAGGCGACAAATCCCCCTCAAGAAAAAACCATATGGCGCCTCTCTTCCCTCAGCATGAGCATCTATCGCTACCGTGTCCCTCACGGGAGATGCACCCGCATCAGTCGAGCAAGAGCCAAATGCTTGAGGTCAATACATATATTTGCACTTACATTCATGTTTGATTCATTTAAAATAAAAATTCTTTCTAAGAAGTTTGGCCAAGTCGAGCAAGAGCCAAATGCTTGAGGTCAATACATGTATTTGCAGTTACATTCATGTCTGATTCATTTAAAATAAAAATTCTTTCTAAGAAATTTGGCCAACCAAATGAGCTTGTCAAGCCCACTAACGAAGTCATCACATCAAATTTCATAATATTAATGAGCATTCCGTTAAGCACAGGTGACTTCAATTAAATAAATCATTGAATAAACAGATATTTCAACACTTTAGTATCTTCTAATCAAGATCACATTTAAACTAATACGGAAAAGAATAACTCAAATCTTATATTAAAAGAAAACACATTTAAAATCATCTTTAATGAGCTTATTACTGAGTATTATTTGAGCTTTTTAACCAATTTGTTACCTAGCTTTAAATAATACTATTACTACTATAAATAATGCAAGCATAAATTTATTCAAAATAGTCCCTAGAAAAAAAATTTAAAAAAAAGCCTACAAGTAAACAAATTCTAGCCTAGCAAAAGCATGCTCAAGTTTGAGCTCATTTGCAAAAAATAAGCCTGATTTTAATTAAATTAAACTATGATATAATTACATAAAGAGCACCCGAAACATTGTTATTTATAAATTAAACACGGCATGTGATTTTTTGAACTATCGAATTGATACATTTACGTGTGCTGGGTGATAATAATGAAAGCATAGGTTGAGGTTTTAACATGAATTTTGATATTTGAGTGAGAGTTTGAAAATGAATAAAAAAGTGTTTGATTTGTAAATAACAAAGTTTCGGGTGCTCTGTAATTTCCCCTTAAATTATGTCTAAAAATATCCGAAAGTTCCATCTGTTTAAAACTATGGCTACACGAACGCATGCGTGTGGGCATCAATTTTCAAAGCTTTTTATTTCTCATACAAAATTATCCACAATGTGGAAGCAATTTTTTTTTCAAAACTACCAAACTTTTTAAAGTAGAGTTTTAGACTTTGTTTGAGAATGAGGAGAAGCTCCATTCCGTTTGCAATGACTGTCGACGCAAGAAAAAACTTTTGTTTAGTGAAGCAATTGTTCCCGAAGTTGTTTTACAAGACTGGCAATTCTTCACAGTTTTAGATCGCAACCAGCTTTCTTTGTTTGACGGACTAAAGGAGCTCCTTCAAATGAAGCCTGAGTTATCCATTGGGAATTTTACTTCCATGCAAGCACAATAGGCAACATAAGGAATGGCATTTTTCTCATTTTGATTGGCCTATATTTTTGAGCCATTTTTATTGGAAACATGATAATACTATTAAAAATATATATTGATTTAAACAATGCATAAAATAAGAAAAATTTACATACATATTACATAATTCTTATATAATTACATAACTAATGTATAATGTTTGATATTTATAATTACAACATCTTGGTGTCATAAAATCTTTCATGAAAGTTAGTGGTAGTGTTATCTTTAAAAATTTGAGAGTTACACATAGAATCATATAAAGATTTAGGTGTTAGTAAACACCAGTTTTGTATGTAAATACACCAATAAAATATTATATCCATATGAGATACAGTGATATCTGAAGAATTTAATAAAGATAACTGAAATAATTTGATTAATAATAGTTCTTTTTCTAAGGAAATCCCAAACTATAAGAAGCCTACTAATTGGAAAAGTACTTGGTATTAAACTCCCATGGCATAGAAGATGATTTGGTTTGCCTTAAATGAATGAGAGCTGCAATAAATTTTTGGCAACATTTTCTCAGATAAATGACATTGATATTAGATAAACTGTTTAGATGGAATGTTAAAACTTATTTACAATATTTACGAAGTATTAATAAGCTTCATAAGCACTATTTACGAATTGACAAGGTCTTCAATCACAATGGCGCGGGTGAGGACGAATAGGGAGACGTAGACCCGGGAGGGTTGATCGGCCCTTCAATTGTAGATTTCCACATCCTTTCCATAGAGGGGAGCCAATCCGAATTATCTATGGCTTATTGTTTTGTTTTTTTTAGGTTTTCAGTTTTTTTGGTTTTTTTTTTTTTTTTTTTTTTTTTTTGTCAAGGGTGCAGTCAGCATCTCCATATTCCCTCCTAGGATTGTATCTGAAAAGAAGAAGGTGCTCCAATTGTCACCTTGAGGTGGTGTTTATCTATCGTTCCCATCGCTCCTCCATCGATGTCATCATCGTGGTTGTTGTTATCACTTCGAAACAACCTCTTTGTTGTTTTCCCTGCAGTCGACCCCTTCCACCACTACCTACAAGTTGTCACCCCCTCCAGCCACCCCAACTTGTTGCCGCCTCTTACAGCCACCTCCAGTTTGATGTTGGCTCCTCCAGTCACCTACCTACTTGATGGCAACATCTTTCAGCCACCTCCAAACTGCTGCCCCCTTCCAACCACCTCTTCCAGCCACCTCCAACTGGCTGTCATTCACCACCCAACCGCTTTAGTCACTATTTCTCCTTAAATCACAGCCCCACCTCCTTCAACCTCAACCCTAATTGAACCCATGTGTCTCTGATTATAACCTCTACTTGCTTTCAGTAATAATATTTGATTTCCCTAATGTGGTTTAGGTTTAACTCTCGTATCAATCTTATAGCTTCAAGAATTAGTACATTCTATAATTATTAATTGATAGTTATACCTAATTTCAATTTCATGCTTATATTAGAGTGAGTAACCATTAATAATAATGTCAGCTTATAATGTTTGGTCACGGTTTAAAACTTCAGGCTTAACTTATGACAAGTGTTTATATTACAAATCAAAGTTTTTTTTCTTTTAAACTCATTATCCTAAAATTTAATATTTACTTGTATAACAATCAAATCTTTAATATCACGTTAAAAATATCACTTAACAAACTTTTTTTAAAGTGAAACACACCTATAAGAGCATATGCCTTAATGTAATTTTGATAATGAAGTGGTATAAATACATAAGAATTATATGGTATGTACATAAATTCCCCATTTTTAATACAAGGATTCTACGGTTCAGGTAAATGTTTACAGAAAGAATAAAACGGTTCAGGCCAAACATCACTTAAGAAAACTGATAATATTTCCCATACCTGATAACTTTAAATTCTCTATTTATTTGTTGCTTATGCGCAGGTGAATCAACATTATATCTTCATTTTGTCGAGTTATTCTGATTTTGTCGTCGATGTACCTGCAATTAAAAAAGAATCATGGTGATAAGTTTCTAATATCAGTGGATGGTATGTGAAAAATTTTATTTTTTGAGCTAAAGAATCAAATTTTAAATAATGAAAATTGGCCACTTACAGTAGTTCCATGCTGTAACTAGTTTTGATATCGAAGGGGAATTTCATTGATCCGGCAAGATATGCCCCACCATTTATAGTTGCCTTGAATTGATTGGCATCCGACTTGCTGCAGAATATAGAATGAGAGAATGTTTCCTTAAGAAGTCTGAAGAAGTTTTACAAGTTTCATGGACATGCGCAGGAGTAATTGATTCTCCACAAAAATAATATATTGCATTGGTGTTATAAAAAACAAGAATTGCTGAAGATTTCTTGTGCATTCATACTAGAAAAAATTAGCATAATTACAAGTCTACCTAAAAAAGAAGAAATATGAGAAAAGTGTCAAAATGGCCCACTGGCTTTTTCCAGGGGGGCGTTTGAGCCCTAGAGTCTATAAAAATGTTAATTTAGTCCTCAGAGCTTTCTAATATGGTTTGAAATAGTAGTGGATGAGGATTATTTGAGGCCAAACCAAAAGGAAATGGATAAAATAGATTTAAAACCCGAACTGGTTCAAAGACCAAAGTACAAATATTTGAGAATAAATTTATAGATGATGATGATAATGCACTTAGGTTGACAGATCCCTTAAAAAGAGAAATCTGTACAGGAGACATATTGATCGCTCCCCCACTTGGCGTTTCCTTTCCCTCTTAGTATAAGCACAAAGCTCATTCTCCATAGAATGGGTGTAATGATAAAGTGATTATTGGCAATTCAGATGAGATTTTAATAAGTTGTATGTATTGATAAGATGATGAGGGAATTTGCAGAGGTTTTAATAGTTTGGATGAATAGACTGAGAAATAGCCATTGTCCATGGACAGGCCTTTTATATCACTATCGAAGAAATGCCAATAATAATATGTAGAGCGAGAAAAGCTTTGTACAGCTTCAAACATTCTTCTCTCTCTTGGATCGACAGAATCTCCAAAGATTTAAAAGTGTGGTTGCACTCAATATCAAATTTGTCACACTTTTTTATTAAGTGTCCGCCTAGAAAAGACGATTTCAATCATATATGTGGACAATATTATATTAAAATGTGATTTTAAAAAAGAGTAAAATAAATTAAAAGTGCTTCTCGCAAGAGAATTTGAAGGAAAATGATCATCAAAACTAAGTATTTATATTTCTCAAAAGAAAAATATGCTTGTTCTACTTCAAAAAATAGGAATGTTTGTATGTAAGCCTACAGAAACTGCAATGAATCTAAGAAAGAATATTAGGATCATCGTTAATGGCATGTTTATTAATAAAGGTAGCTGTCAAAATCTTGGACCAAACTCATGTGCTTCTCTCTCATATGTCCTGAAATTTGGTTAATTGTTAGTGTTGTAAGCCAATAAATGAACAACCTTTACAGAAAAGCACATGAAAGTTGTTATCCGCATTCTTAGATACCTCAAAATAATACTACTAGGAACAGCCCTGTTAAATAAAAGTCATCAAACAACAACAACAATAACAAGCCTTTGTCCCACTAAGCGGGGTTGGCTACATGAATCCTTTTTCTCCATTGTGCCCTACTGAGTGTCATATTTTCATTTAAAACTAAGGTGATGTTAAAAAAATTTGTGGCCACAAGAAGCGGTATGAAGCTGAATATAGCACTCGGAATTTGCAAAGGAATGCAGTTAAGGAAATTAATCGAAAAACTACACCATCAAATGGAAAAATCATAAAGAGAACACTGCAACAAACAGACTAGCACAAGTATGGCAACAATTTCTTTCCACTGTAAATTGACTATACATGCAAAGTTAGACCAACATTACATCACAGTAAAATAAAAAAGGAAAAGCCCAACTAAGTTATGTTCCAAGTTCAGCAAACTGTCAAATTATATTCATATTGGAGTTAATCAAAACCACAATAACGAAAGTAAATATTATTAAGCAAAAGCAACTAGGGTTATAATCAAAACTCAAACGAAGACGAAAAAACATAACAAAACACCAATATTCGGCTAGGGCCAAGTAGAAATATCCGTGGACAGTGGTAACAAGGCCTGAGGGCTGGCGGCTGGTGGCTGGAAGTAGAAGGTAGGTTTGGTGGCGGGTGGCTAGAGACAAAGAAGGGGTTGGGTGACTAACGACTGGAAACAGGGATGAGTGCCGCGGTTGGCTGCTAGGTTCACGAAAAAGGGGTGGTGGTGGCTAGCAGTAGGAAATCGGGGAAAATAGGTGAGGGTTGAAGGCAGGAATCAGCAAAGGGCGCGCTGGGGGTTGGCGGCAGGAATCAGCAAAGGGAGCGTTAGGTGTTGGCAGCTCGAATCAGGGAAGAGGGGAGGTGGCTGCTGGCCGGGAACAAGCAAAGGTGGGGGTCGGCGGCTGGGAACAAGAAAGGAAAGGTGGGGGCCAGCGGATGGAAACAGAGTAGCGAGAGATGTGGAGGGAGTCGTGGAGGTAATCACCACATCGGAGTATGATACAGTCGGAGCATCATATGTCCTCGGATACAACCCTGGCAAAGGAAGACACCTAGAGGCAGAAATTTGAAATCAGAACTGAACTAAACCCTTGAACAAGCAAGCAACATATATATAATAGTGGATAGAATAGGAGGAGACAACAATTCCCTCCCAACAGCTTTGTCAGTCGGTTCGTCACCTCCTTACTAAACCGATTTAGTCCAAGCCCCGACATCATATATATATCCTCCCCACAACCTTACAAAGAGTGAGTTTTGATAAACTAACAATTGGGGCATAATCAAAATACACAACTCAACATTGGAGAGAAGTACCAACTTGTCAATATTTGAGAAAAATAGGCTGAATTCTGAATAGGCTCGATGTCTTTTCTCTTTGCTTTCATTCCATTAAATAATAATCTTACAATCTATTTTAGGTACAAAATATTTTGTATAATCTATTTTAGGTAATTTAATAATAAATATTCCTAATCTAAATATTCAGCTAAAAGGAAAATTGAAAATACAATGGAAAATATAAGAGGGCTTATTACACTTGATGCAAAGAGGGGTATAAATACAAATTACAGGATTTACTGGTAAGGAAAGCAATAAAAACAGAATACAATAGACAAGGAAAGGAATAATAACAAATATAAGAGGCAGTTAATCTCTCTAAACAAGAAGAAAAATAAATAGAGATTCCAAAGATCCCTCATACAATTTATAACCCTCTAAATATAGAGTTATAACAAATATGGAATATAATCAACATTATTTACGAGATCTTTCAACAGAAATAAATCAAAATAAAGATATTGGAAATAATTTAAATAAGGAAGCTCCTAATTATAGAAAACTCCTAATTTAGTTGTTTGATTTCCGTCCTTCTTGATTGACATCTCCCCTCAAATTGATGTTAACTGATCAGGAAGCATCAATTTGCCAACAAGAAACGGATAACACTTTCGAGACCAAAAACCTCAAGTCGTGTCGAAGCCTCAAAGACAACTCCTTAACCATAACATGATTTGAGCAAAGAAAAGTAAAAAATCATTTATCATTGTCATCCAGAAATTTGAATCATAGCCACAAGAAGGATCCGCTTCCAGTTACACGATCCAAATGCCGATCATAGCCCACAAATAGGCTCCAGTTACACGATTCAGATGTTATCGATCATAGCCTACAAGTAGGATTCGTGTCCTGATCCAAATGCAATCGATAATAGCCCACAAATAGGATCCAATTACACAATCCAAATACTATCAATCAAAGACTACTAGTAGGATCCGCGTCATGATCTAAATGCTACTGATCATAGCCCACAAATAGGATCCAGTTACACGTTCCAAATGTTATCGATTATAGCCTACAAGTAGCATTCGTGTCCTGATCCAAATGCTATTGATCATAGCCCACAAGTAGGATCTGCATCTTGTTAAACGATCCAAAAGTGTTGAAGTCGAGATGTCGAAGCCGTGGGTCTAGGAAGGACTGTTGAAGCCTTCAATCCTTGAGTGCGACGAAGAAGCCAAAGTCGAAGCGGACGAAGCGAAGCGTGAGAAGCAGTGGAAGCTGATGCAAAAACAACGATGCCTGGCTAAGAAATCCGAATCGGCGAATGATAATACAAACATAACAGTTATCTTATCGTTCTCAGTTCTTATTGAGGCTTTCACCTGGTATTTCCTCCCTTTTTTTCACAGTGTTCTCTTTTAAACCTTAATCGAAAAAAGGATCTGGATCTCTTAAGGATGGAGGGGACAATAGGTTTTCGCTGAGATTTGATGGGCTCGCCATTTATTTCGGCACTGATTGAAGTTCTATGCCGCCATTCGAAAATAAGGGTTTCGCAGATGTTGCGATCTATCCAGAGGTTTGGTTGAACCCACCACCATATCTGAATCGGCCAGGTAGGACGCAAAAGCCTTGCCACAGAGGGAGCACTTGTGATCGAGAGTTGGGTGCGGGGTTTGAGAGAAAGCAAGGGATCTGTGACGGGCAAGCGTGAGGAGGCAGAGAACGAGGTATTCCTCCTCCGATTGGGACCCACCGAGGCCATCTATCTGTCTGTCGAGCTGCAGATCCGTTCTCCCACCACTCCCAATTACCCAAGGAAGGCTTCGGGTAGGAGAGGACCAAAGCTCTAAGGACGGCGC